CAAGTCGCGAAGAAATTAATCCAGTGTTTCGGATGGACGCTGAGGTCTTGTGGCGAGCTAGTGTCTGGCGAATATCTCATTATCTTATTCACATACACCTTTTTCAACACTTGTATAGCTGTTTCAAACTCCTTAGCATCAGCAAAGTATTCATACACAGTAGCAGATACATATTTTGTCAAACATCGTAGTTTTTCAGGCGCTCTGTCTCCACACTCATCAATATAGTTTTCAAAAGTTTTACGCCAATGCTTGTATTCCTTCTCAGCAGCTGAGGAGTTTGGATCTACATCAAGCATGTCGGGGCAGAGTATGTTTTTCGTGTTGTTATTAGAATATAAGTTGATTAAATTGTCGTATGATACCAAACACCTTCAGTAATCAAGGCTTTATTCAGCTATTACATCCAGAACAAAACAAAACCCAATTAGAACAAGATAATATTTAGAGTAAAGGTAAACACAAACATAATTTATTCTATAATATGACACATAATAAAGCTTACATTATTTGTAATTAACTTATTATATGTTTGTATGTATGTAATTTGCCATTTTTGGATCAATGAACTTATGCATCTATTTATCTATCAATGCGACGCCATCAGCGTGAATTAAGTATAATGAATATCAGTTCCTACACAACGAACAGTAAGATGCCCACAAGGACAATAGATAATATAACAATGATTATACAGGAATCACTTTCCCGTGACAAGGATCTACATTTGACGCTGCCAGGCATGAGGCGATGTTTTCATGGTGGTGACCTATAATAAGTTCATGATACGTTTTCATCAAATATTTCTATTAAGTTAAAACTGTCTCTATCTCAGAGATTATTGCGCCGAAAATTAAACCAACAGTTGTATTAACATTTCTAAATTCAATAATAGTTAGGTTTCCCACTTTTTTGCATAATAATCATCTTTGTCTCTCTTAATTTTCTTTGTATTCGTTCTCTCTTATCATATTCTGCCATCACACAGAATGGTGACACTAGCACTTGTGTTGATGGTGATAGCAGGTGTGGCGGCTGACAGCTTCCAGGTACCTGGTCAAGCACGGCGACTAGTTACTGAGGAATGTGGTGAAATCAATATGGTGCCAGGAGAGACAAAAGTCATCCAGGACGACAGCAACCCAAGTGGAAACTATAGTCCAAATCAAAGGTGAAGTGAGGCGTGACTTAATAATGTTTTGTAAGGAAACCTAGCCTAACCTAACCTAACCTAACCTAACCTAACCTAACTCTACCTAACGTGAGTCTGACACACTGTGTGTCCACCCTCGTGAGTCTAACACTGTGTGTCCTCCCTCGTTAGTCTAACACTGTGTGTCCTCCCTCGTTAGTCTAACACTGTGTGTCCTCCCTCGTTAGTCTAACACACTATGTGTCCTCCCTCGTGAGTGTAACACTGTGTGTCCTCCCTCGTTAGTCTAACACACTGTGTGTCCACCCTCGTGAGTCTAACACTGTGTCCTCCCTCGTTAGTCTAACACCCAGTGTGTCCACCCTCGTGAGTCTAACACACTGTGTGTCCACCCTCGTGAGTCTAACACATTGTGTGTCCACCCTCTTGAGTCTAACACTGTGTGTCCTCCCTCGTGAGTCTAACACTGTGTGTCCACCCTCGTGAGTCCAACACCCAGTGTGTCCACCCTCGTGAGTCTAACACACTGTGTGTCCTCCCTCGTTAGTCTAACACACTGTGTGTCCTCCCTCGTGAGTCTAACACACTGTGTGTCCTCTCTCGTGAGCCTAACACACTGTGTGTCCACCCTCGTGAGTCTAAAAATGTGTCCACCCTCGTGTGTCTAACGCACTGTGTGTCCTATCCTCGTGAGTCTAACACACTGTGTGTCCTCCTTCGTGAGTCTAACCCGCTGTGCATCCTCCCTCGTGAGTCTAACACACTGTGTGTCCTCCCTCGTGAGTCTAACCCACTGTGTGTCCTCCCTCGTGAGTCTAATACACTATGTGTTCACCCTGTGAGTCTAACACACTGTGTGTCCTCCCTCGTGAGTCTAACACACTGTATGTCCTCCTTCGTGAGTCTAACACTGTGTCCACCCTCGTGAGTTTAACACACCGTGTGTCCACCCTCGTGTGTCTAACGCACTGTGTGTCCTATCCTCGTGAGTCTAACACACTGTGTGTCCTCCTTCGTGAGTCTAACACTGTGTCCACCCTCGTGAGTTTAACACACCGTGTGTCCACCCTCGTGAGTCTAACACATTGTGTGTCCTCCCTCGTGAGTCTAACAAACTGTGTGTCCTCCCTCGTGAGTCTAATACACTATGTGTTCACCCTGTGAGTCTAACACACTGTGTGTCCTCCTTCGTGAGTCTAACACTGTGTCCTCCCTCGTGAGTCTAACATACTGTGTGTCCTCCCTTGTGAGTCTAACACACTGTGTGTCCTCCCTTGTGAGTCTAACACACTGTGTGTCCTCGCTCGTGAGTCTAACACACTGTGTGTCCTCCCTTGTGAATCTAACGCACTGTGTGTCCTCCCTCGTGAGTCTAACACACTGTGTGTCCACCCTCGTGAGTTTAACACACTGTGTGTCCTCCCTCGTGAGTCTAACACACTGTGTGTCCACCCTCATGAGTCTAACACCCTGTGTATCCACTCTCGTGATTCTAACACACTGTGTGTCCACCCTCGTGAGTCTAACACACTGTGTGTCCACCCTCGTGGGTCTAACACTGTGTGTCCTCCCTCGTGAGTCTAATACACTATGTGTTCACCCTGTGAGTCTAACACACTGTGTGTCCTCCCTCGTGAGTCTAACACACTGTATGTCCTCCTTCGTGAGTCTAACACTGTGTCCTCCCTCGTGAATCTAACATACTGTGTGTCCTCCCTTGTGAGTCTAACACACTGTGTGTCCTCGCTCGTGAGTCTAACACACTGTGTGTGCTCCCTTGTGACTCTAACGCACTGTGTGTCCTCCCTCGTGAGTCTAACACACTGTGTGTCCACCCTCGTGAGTCTAACACACTGTGTGTCCTCCCTCGTGAGTCTAACACACTGTGTGTCCACCCTCGTGAGTCTAACACACTGTGTGTCCACCCTCGTGAGTCTAACACACTGTGTGTCCACCCTCGTGAGTCTAACACACTATGTGTCCACCCTCGTGAGTCTAACACTGTGTGTCCTGCCCTCGTTTTCTTTATTACTTTGCTGTCACTCAGAATCGAGTATGACGATCATCCAACTATGATATTATGAAATGAGTTATTAAGGATGTCACCTTCGTTGGTGAGCTCTGAGGTGACTAGAGAGACCGATACGGGACCGGCAGTTTCGTCCACAGATGTTGCACGTGTAGGGGGCTACATCTATTGCAGTCGGGCTAACTGGAAAGTATTGACACCTCGTGTGGTGCTCCTACAAGTAATCGACTCCCAGGTGATGGGGTCGATTTGGCACTTCTTCAGGTTTGTCTTAAGATTATCCTCATATCCTTTCCATTGCCCTTCAGAATTATTTTTACCATTCGTTAGGTGACTGCAAAGTAATTGCTTTGGCATTCTACTGTCGTCCATACGGGTAACATGGCCAGTCCAACGTATTGTTCATAGATAATAGTATCCTCGACGCTCCTACAGTTGGTGTAAGCAAGAATACTGGCATTTGCTCTCTTGTCTTCCCAGTGAACTCCGAGGATGGAACGTAGACTACGTTGGTGAAAGTCTTAAAGCAACTTGAGGTGCCTCCTGTATGTGACACATGTCTCGCTGCTATACAGCAGGGTGGGAGATCCACTGCTCGATATGCATACAACTTTGTGTATTATTTCAGCTCCCTACAGCTGAAGACACATGTACGGAGTCTGCCAAAGGCTTGAGATGCACATCTGATATGATGTTTTAATCTCTTCATCGATGTCCACGGTGGTGGACAGGTGGGAGCCGAGATACCGAAAATGGGTAACATTAGAGACGGTAGTACCGTTAATCTGGATGGATAACATTAGAGAAGGTAGTACCGTGAATCTGGATGGATGGTGAAGGTGTGATTGAACCCGGAGCAGGCTGACAGAGAATCTGGGTCTTAAGTACATTAACCTCAATGCCAAGTGTGCATATGTTCCTGCCTGGAGTCGTCTTGAAAAGTCCCTTCATCCGGTACTCGATGTTCACCCCGCCGGCTAAATTGACACTGGCACTAGTAAGGAAGGCAGCCAAGAAAATGGAAGAGAATTAGTGCCAGCACAAATCCTTGTTTTACTTCCGTTTGGACGGGGAAGAAGTCACACTTTGGACCATTGTGCAGGACACATCCATTCCTGCCATCCTGGAGTTGCCTCACAATAGCGGTAAATTTTGGTGGACAGCCAAAACGACTAAGGGTCTGCCACACACACAAACACACACACACTACTTTTTTTTTTTTGGCCTCCAGCCTCCCCTAATAGCCACACCTTCGCCACCATTTATTTACCTTAATATTAAATATCCTAATACATAAGAAGCTATCCTATCTGTGTTAAATTAGTTGAGCCACAGATCTATGCGGCATTCAGTGACTGTAGCCTCATAGTCAATATCTGCAGCAGTTGTCGGAGTAGGGGCAGAAGATCTCGTTCCCCTGAGGCAGAGCAAAGCCGACCGAAGGAGAGAGAAGGACAGTCGACATCTCATCCAGGCTGTAACATAACTTCTGGGCTGCTGCTTCTGTTCGGAGATCAGCTCCGCGAGTCTGGCGTAGAAACATCTTGCACTTGGGCCCATCCCACCAGAGGTTGTGAACACTAGAGGAGTGAAGCTGCCTTGATCAACATTTTGAATTCTCTCCCCATATGCCCTTCTCTTGTCGTTCTCGTTCCTCCTATGTGCAGCATCAAGAGCTAGGTTACGGTGACAGACGGCCATGGGATCAAAAATCCTGATGTCTAAGAAAGCTCGCTGTCCCCGTGTCCAGAATCCTCGAGCACTGACGTCCACACGGGCTTCGTTAGATGTGTTTGAAGTCCTGTGTTGGAAGATCTCGCCATCCAGTGGAAGGAGGGTCGGTTCTACCATGACGTCCCGGCAGATTTCCTTCAACATATTTGCTGTGAGATCCCTTACCTCGTCATGCCTCATGCATATGAAGCCCCCCTTCTTGCAGACCATGGCATGATCGCCATCATAGGGAGAGCCACACACGCATTGGGAGGGCAAACCATCTACTGGCCAACCGTACCTTAGAGCAATGGCATCTGTAAATTCTTGTTTGTTAAGGCTGAAACCATTTGCCCTTATCGGTAACGTAGTTAACCAGTTCGAGGCGCCCACCTCCTGCGCTATAGCTACTTTTTTTGTCAAATTTTCTGGAACCTGCAGCAATAGTTGCTGCAACATGTCATTTTGGCAGTGCTGCCGATCTGTCGTAATGGACCTACGAATCTTATTTACTTCGCTGGTATCCACTTCCCCTGTTGCATTCTGGGCTATTATGTGGTCCGTGAGGGCTGCCATGAGCTTAAGTGAATTTTGATGTTCAGTGTCAGCAATCTCCTCTGGATTAGTTAGTCCCATCCCTCCCAGTCTTGGTGGAAGTGCAAGAAGTGTTCTTTCTGCTCGGGTTAAGTCAGGGTGTTTCACTAGTTTGGGAATGAACTTGACACTGATTGCTTCTTCCAAAGGGTGGAGGAGGGGTCCGATCTCAGGGATGGTACGCATCAGGTAGTTCCAACGATGCTTGACTCCACGGGTGAATGCTGCAAAGGCCGCATGTGGCTCTGTGTTAGCAATCTCCGATAGAGCTTGGATTTCACTCACCCACTCATTCACTTTTCCCGCTACGTACTGGGTCTTGAAGTCCGTAGTGCCAATTACTGCGCCTAGATGTCTTTGGCCGTCCTTAGTTATTTTGACCACACTTTCGCCGAAAACCTCGAAAGCCCGATCATAATGATCTGGCTTCACGATGAGGAAGGATTTGCTGGCGTTTGGGTGGTACCCTATTTGTGGACCTCGCGATGTTACCAGGTCCCACCACTTTTTGATGTCCTCCACTTTTCCTGCTCCTGTAAGGTCATCAGCATATGCCACTTGTTTGACCCCAGTTGTTTCAAACTTTATTTCTTGTTGGAGCACTGATAGGCCTATTGCATACATTGCCATTGCAACGGGGTCCCCCTGTGTTGTTCCCTCAGTCGACTGTAGGATGGTATCA